CTCTTACCTCTCGTCCCGCTCTACATCTAGACGTCCATCCAAAAGCTTTCTGGTGCAAGGGCCGGGTTCCAGAGGCAGACCTTGTGCACCTGCAGAATTTGCGTTAAAGGGCGTTCCCCCGCCTTGCACGCGGGGCAGGCAGCAGTGTGGCTTTTCCTTACGGTAACTTGTTTTCACATTTCTAACCTAATCTGCCATTTCTTCCCTGGCACTTCTGCTATGCATGACTTAACCCCTGCCAGCCCTGAAGAGCCACCTGAGCCTGTAGCATGGCTCACCCAGCATGTGCAAGAGCTGAAACCCTCAAATAACATCTCAGATGACCTCAGCACTGGTCTAACTCAAGCCCTGCAAAGGCTCAAAGCGCAGTAAAACACACACTGACTTGGGTGGCAGCAAAGCAAAGCTGATGTCTAGAGCTCTTCCATCATCCCAACTTTCTTAAGAACTCCTCTTGCTTTTTTGCTTCGCAGTCCAAGTTTTATTTAATGGGCGTATAGCTGTATTTGTGTAACATACTTTAACCATAAAGGTATTGACATCTCTGTCCCACTGCTATGAATTTAAAGCATGGAGTCTGTTAATATTGCTGCAAATGTAGTTTATTTGGATGAAATGTGGTAGATTTAGTAGTAGATTTCAGCCATTTCCATTTCAGTGCACATTTTTATTGCATCAGCAAATTAAATTTTTGGAATAAAAGGTTTTCTGTCCTTAATAAACCCGGTATTGGTGAACATGTAATAGGTAAGAACTTCAGCATGCTGACAGGTGTAGTAAGCTTAGTGGAACATCTCATTTTAGCATCACTGCACCTGTACAGTTGTCTTGGGATGATGCCTGGTAAATATTTAATGATTTTTCCTTTGTTTTCTGCAGATAGTGTCTATAATAAGGCAGAGTATCTGCAAGTAATATTGCAATTTCAAGTCACTCTGCTGTCCAAAATGTGTATGATTTCTACTTATCTATAAACTAGTTAAAGTACTGTTAGAGACAATGTGACACTCTCTTCTTGTGATGCTTTCTTCTTAATTATTTTTTTTCTTTTCATTTCTTGATAAGGCATATAAATAAAAGAAACTGTGGATTTTAACGTTGAAAACACTGTGCAGTCTATAAAGCACAAGAATCTATGCTTTGCTTTTTTTTAAATAAAACAGCCTCTTGTTTGCTCATATTGACTTTCATTGTTCTCTGAAATCCATCCATCTTTCAGACTACAAGGATTGCTGATAATTATACACTAAGGCCATTAATGGCTAGCCTATTTCTTTCTCACTCATCAACAAAAGTGGTAAGTGCTTGGAAATCAAACCGCATTTCAGTCCTTCAGTGTGCTCTTATTAGCTTCAAATGATGGCCCAAATGAGAGCTGTGAAAGCTCATTGCCTCTAACGAGGGGGCAGCACCCAGCTCACGGAGCCGCGGCGGTCCCAGCCCCGTGTGCACAGTGACAGAAAATGCATCTGCCACTGCGGTTGTCCAACGTTATTTTAAAATCATGGAGCGAATGGGGCTACTAGACATGAGGAGACAACTTACCTGGTCAGGTTTGATGGGACAGCATTCAAGAGCTAGTAAATTCAGTCTCCGCTGATGAAATGAACTGAAATGAACAGCTTTTTAAAATTTTTTTAGGGAAGAAAAAGGTGATTTAACATCTTAACAAATGGGTTGGAAACACAAGGGCAGGTCTGCAAAGAAATTCAAGCTCCTAAAGATGGAAGAATTCAGTGAGATTTGGAAAAAGGCCACAGCATCTGCTCAGATGCCTGGGTGCCGTCCCAAATTGGGTGCATCGTCCCTTGCTGGAGTCTCTCTGCCCGGCGAGTGTCACAAATCCTTCTGAACTGGAATTTTTTTTCATTTCAGCAAAATCTGAACGTGCTTTTCCTGCATGCAGCAAACTCGGAGCGCTGCCAGCACCCGTGGCCGGTGGGCTGCCTGAGGATTGGTGAGGGACCTGTGCAGGCAGAGGACAGGCAGACGGCAGGCAGGGGTGGATAAAATGTGTTTGCAATCTCTCATCTCATCCATCTCTTACAGAAATGCTCGGTAGTGGGTTATTTCAGGGAGGTTTGCATTCTTGCTGTATCTCTAATCCTCCTGGGTTGTTTGAAGGTGTAAGGAAGCACCTGGGGTTGCTCAGGTCTGTGTGTGCTCCTGTTCATTTCTACGGTGAAGACAACATCTATCCCAAAAGCTCTGACATTTGCATCCTTCTTTTGATTTTAGGCTGGACAACAGCGTTGGTGGGAGCAGGAAATTACAGTGAATGGAAATATTCAAAAGGGAGAATTAATTACCTACAACCTAACTGAGCTGATCAAGCCAGAGGCATATGAAGTCCGTCTAACACCCATCACCAGATTTGGGGAGGGGGACTCAACTATTCGGGTCATCAAGTATAGTGGTAAGAAGACTTTCATGTACAAGCAAATGCGCCGCGGTGCATTCTGCACAGTTGGGTCTGCTGTCCAGGTTACGGCTGCCCTGGGTTGCACTGTGTAAACTGATTGCCAGTCCTGCAAATAATGCTGCAAGGGATGAGCGTGAGCTGCCAGGAAGCAGGGTTCTGGGTAGAACAGCATAGAAACCCTAGTGTCCACCTCTGGGAAGTTTCACAATTTAAAAAAAAAAAAAAAATCTCTGAACAGCCAAAATGCAAAAACATATTGAAGTTTCTGTGAAATAAATGAAAAAAAATAGAACAAAATAATGTTAAGCTTCATGAAAACTCATTTCAAGAGTTTGTTCTTTCTTAGAACACTTTGAAGGGCAATGAGTTTTGAAGAAAAATCTACAAAACAAGTAGTATTTTGAAGGTGTCAAATCAGCGTTTTGATATCATAAATTTTTTTCCCCCAGAATGAGCACTTCTTGAGAAGTTTTTATCTGAATGTGGATTATTTTTTTTTTTAAAGTGACTGTTTCTATTCCTATGCAAGGTAAAAAGGGCATTTATACATTTTCCTCTAAAAAGTCATGCCATGACAAAGATTTGTCCACTTTAATCCAACAAGAAAAATACAGTGTGCTTACATCCTTCCATTCAGTTTCCCAGCATTACCAGGAAGTTACTCCTAGAGCTCTGAAAAATCCCTTAAAATACCTTTTTTGGCATATTTATTTAATGAATAACTGAACCACTTCTTGTTTTTCTTCTGTAAAAATTACAATGAATGGGCAAGAGTTGCCTTCAAGAGAACATGGCTCTACAAAAGATAGCACTGTGCAGTTTGCAAAGGGAACCTGATGTGCTGAGCAGGAAGTTTTTCTAATTAAAAAGAGAAGTGTGTGCTGGGGAGAGACATTTGGAAACATGGAATCATGGAAATATGAGTTTATCATTTCGGGACAAACTTGTTAGTAGAGCCTATTACAATAGGACGAGGGGTAATGGTTTTAAACTCCAAGAGGGTACATTTAGACTAGATCTAAGGAAGAAATTTTTCACCATGAGGGTGGTGAAGCCCTGGCCCAGGTTGCCCAGAGAGGTGGTCGATGCCCCATCCCTGGGAACATCCCAGGTCAGGCTGGACGGGGCTCTGAGCAACCTGCTCTGGTTGCAGATGTCCCTGCACATGGCAGGGGGGTTGGACTAGACGGCCTTGAAAGGTCCTTTCCAACCCAAACCCTTCTGTGATTCTATCATGAAGAACCTTGCTAATCCTGCAGGACGAAAGCCAGGTGACACACAGGTCAAGTCACAGCTAGCCATGTAGGTCCAATTGCTCCAGGAGCTGGATCCAACAGTAATTAGTGCTATACAGATGCCTGAGAGAGCCCAAAGCAGGAAATCACATGTAGCAGAAGGCCCAAAAGCAACCTACAGATCAAGAATTACTTTTGAAAATCATTATCAAATAATTTAAAATAGTGAACAAATCTGAAAAAAAATTAAATGTCGTCTTCATCGTATGTGCAATTCTTCATGATCAGTGATTAGCTCAGCCCTACTCAGTCTCATCATAAATTATTTTTATGACTGTATTAATATCAAGGGAAAAATTACATTAAGCAATCTTAAACATCAATTCTAAAGAATGTAGTTCTTTACATTTCACTAAATTTCACACATTTCACTAAATGCCAGATCTGCTAATGATGGTGATGGATGAATCTTAGGTTTTGCCCGTTACAGGAAAGTGTTTGCAAAGTCTACGTTGCCCAAAGTTCATGAGAACAAAATGTCTATTAAAAAAATGGACTTGCTTACTAAATCTATGAACGTAAAACCATCTATGGTCATACTGCTGCAATTCCTCTTGGACTTTGGCTCCTCGTTGGGCCTCTTTACCCTAATAATTGCCTATTTTCTGACACCAGCAGCAGGAGTCCAGTCTTTTTGGCGATCTCCACATGCATAAGGGCAAGACTCTGCAGCAGGCGCAGTCTCTCGGTGCTGGCTGTGAGAGGGAGACTTGTGCGCTTACAGTCAGCCACTGCTCGCTTCCGTGGACCTTGACATTTATCCAATGACTTAAATACTGACCAATGCTCCTATAAGGAGAAAAAAACCACCATTTAGGTCGCTCAGTCACAACTGCTCTTTTTTGGTGGTGGTTTTACCCGGGCAAGTCTCAAGAGGTTGATTGAAGCCTCAGCTTACAACCGTGCTGAGTTTGAGGTTTTAATGAAACGTTACGTGATTTACATTTCTAGCCCCCGGCTGGCAGGAAGAACATTCCCATGCAGCGTAAAAGGCGTATTTTGTCCACTGCAATTTTTTCTGCTAGAATCTGCCATTAGTGCAGATGTGAGTAACATCCCATTTCAAACGTGCTGATGAGGTGCCAGTGCAAAACCCAGCCGCCCAGGAGAGGGGAAGCCGTTGCCTTGTGCCCCAGACGGAGAGATGCTTTTGGAGCAGCGCTCAGTGCTGTTACTGTGGTGCCGACCAGTTCACAGCTTCAGACACCATGAGCCAGATCAAGAAGCTAAACCTAAAGTGACTTCCCTTTGAAGAGGGATCCCAGAATCGCTGAGGCTTTGTGTGCTTAAAATGTGCATTTTACCTCAGCATTCGTCCAATGACTGTAGTGTCAGCAAACTGTTACCAGGCTGATTTTAAGGATGTTATAGCTTCAGCTATAAAATAATGATTATATTATAGTGCAAATGTGATACTTATCATCTGAAATGCTGGAGTCTTAGAAAAGCAGTTAATGGGCTAGCGGGATGCGGAGCAGCAGGCCTGCATCAATGCTAGAAATAATTGTAAACATTACCCAGAAAATAAAAGACATCACGTGAATGTTTCTTAAAAGGAGAACTAAGATAAGTTTTTACATTTTTCTCCCATTACTTTTTTTTTTTTTTAATTGTGAGACCTCAAGCAATGAGGAAAACTTGAATTTTCGTATTTTCAGTGGGATTTTGTGTGTCTGTGTGAGTGTGAGTGTGTGTGTTCCGTTCTGATCAGTACCCCAGAAGCACACTGGCCTCTGCCAGTGTCAGCCCTTCTTTCTCATCCCACCACTTTAGGATTACTCTTTTTGGAGGACCAGGATGCAGGACCGTGTCCATCCAGGTCTTGAATATCTCCAAGGATGGAGACTTCACAATTTCTCTGGGCAACCTGTTTTTTTTCTCAGATTTAAAATGCACCTATGTTTTTGTATGGCTGGTGAGGTTTCCCATTGCAAACATTTTTTCCCTTACTTTTAAACTTTAACCAGGCTAATAGGATTTCAGCCCATTTTAAAGAAATGCAGTGTGAAAAGCAGATCAGACACGTCATAGAGTTGCTAAAAATGGTAGCAGTGTCTTTTGCCTTTAAGAAATGCATTAACTTTTTACATTTGAGTTTAATTTCTGTGCAAGTAGAGGATAGATAGGCCATGCAGTACGTAGATTTTACTTTGACAGCTTAAGCTTGTCTTTTGTAGTAGGACAATCTTGGGTAGATACTGCAAGAAATGATTTCTCAGAGTAGTAGTAAAGCATGTAAGGAATAACATGACGTCTCTAGTGTATTGGTTGCATTTGCTGCCTTACTAGAGAGGAGAAGGTTTCTCCAGATTTCTTCCAGTGGATGAACCATCCTCTGGACATGCCCGTATGTCTCCACTGACTTTAGAGCCACTCCAATGACACTCTTAGATGAGGTGTCTAACTTTTAGGTCGCTGAAGTTAAGCCACATTAATCCTACCTGTGAAGTCATTTTTATTGGCTTCACTCCTTTGTACGTGATGCAGAGCACGTCGCCTTTTAATTTAAAACCCACAACTGGAGATTAACGTGGAAATTGTTACTATATAAAAATAACAGCTTCCAATGTGCTAGCCTGCCGGTAGCCATCCGAATGTCCACAATAAGGAGTCCAGTAAAGGAGGACAACCTCAGTAATGAGCTCTTTACAGTACACCCTCCCATCCCAAGTGGGAGCTGTAAATACAAAACAAAAACTCCGCAGTATCCAATCCCATGAATCAAAAACTTAGCCATGGCGCAAGCATTTCGTAGGGAAATCCCTTGCCTGCCATGAATTATTGTCTCCTGTGCATGCCAAAAGGACGGGAGAAAAGAGCAATCATCGCAGTAGGAGCGACGTGGATAATTACAGCCAAACATCACTTGACAAAGTCTTTCGTGGATACATACGTGGCTCTGCTAGTGAACAAGTCTGCTGAGTAAATACAAACAGGGCAATTTAAGTAGCACTAACGAGTGTTTTGTAGGCTAATACAAAACAGATATGTCCCGTAGTAACAGCAGATATGTCTTGTAGTAACAGTTTAAATATTATCTCCATCACTTTACATAAATCTATGTCAGCCTGTTTACTGGCTGTAAAATCCTCCAACTACAATTAAAACTTCAGCACTCGCTGTTTTAAATATGAACTTACGTTCAAATATTTTTAAAGTTAACCAGTGATTAAAGAAGCAGGTTCGGCTCCCTTCTATGGAAAAAGCCAACAACCCGTTACTACTATTTGTACGTAAAGTCGGCCCCTTGCAACGGTGGCAGATAGATGATGGTGGCCAGTTGCTTTCTAGTCTAGCTTGCTTATTTTTATATGAGGTTCAGACACTCCACAGATTCTGTATGGAAGAAGAGTATGTAATTGTGGTTATTTATGGCTATTATTCTTGTTGTTATTATTATTGTAATATTTCTATCCCCAGAAAAAGAAAATTGGTACCAAATAGGGCATAAACAATAGGATTTATAATTTGCACAGGCATACGTTTCCAGTATTACCCAGTGTTATAAATAGTAAGTTAGGATAATTGCTATTATGGGAAGAAGAAATCCTTGTCCTTGTAGAATACCAATATTTACAGTGAAGATTGTTTTTCCTGTGCAAACCAAGTGCTTAGAGGACGGGCACTTGATCTTGATTAAGGCTTTTAGGTGCTAGTTGTACTTATCGCAAGTAACCACTTTCCAGTGGTAAAAACCGAAGCAGCTGAACATGTAGCATGCTCCTACTTGCCTCTGGCTTTATGCTCCTCGTAGTTAGGAAAGCTCAGTTTGCAGCTATTTTTTTAAAGGGGGGACATAATGTTGTGGTCACTCGTAAGCTGAACAAGTGTTTGTGCTGGGAAGGATCTGTGGGAAACGTAACTGTCTTTGCATGTATGCAGTTGCACCTAATAGAAGGGCAGGCATTAAGAACAACCACTCAGCCCACATTTTTCTGCTGTGACCTGCACAAATACAGATCACCGAAAAGTAAAACCATCCAACAAACTGAAATTCCAGCAGGTTTTATTCTCTGCTTGCTGGAGGAATAGCAGGAAGATTAAGGGATCATCCGTCTTGGCTCTATCAAAGCTCAAACTTTTCATCACACTTTGTTCTCCTCCTGAGATTCTCCACCAGCAAAACCTTTCTCCCAGCACGACCAGGGTCAGCTGAGCAGAGCAGCAACAGCCCTCTGAGGTGCACAGATTTTCCAAACATTTCAAAGTCGGCTTTGGGAATTTACTCCCTCATTCATCCATTAATTTCCCCTCATGGCTAATTTAACTTGCTACCCCTGTGTCGTGCAGGCAGCAACCTTACCTGTCCGCAGTCAGAGCTAGAGCCATTACGTGTTGTCTTATCGCAGCGTGCTGTATTACTTAGAAGAGTGAGCTTTTTGGATTTTTTGTTGTTTGGTGGGTTTTTTCCTAGTTTATGATGCTAGATAAGTTCAGCCTAGGTGCTTTAAATTGTTTTTCTGCTTTTGTCAATCAGTGTGAACTGAAGCTAGTTTGGCGAGAAGCCTTTTTTTTTCTCTGCTGTGAACAATCTGAATAGCATGACTCAAGGTTACACGCTGATGATAGTCTCCATAAAAGCCCATACGTTTAGTTACAAATCAAGCATCAGTAAATGTAGTTCCCAGCAATTTCAGCTAATTCCAAGTTCAGTCACTCAAGGATTTCACAAAATGAATGTTTGTTGGAGAACGAAAGGTAATTTGTTGGTAAAAGCTATAAGGTTATCTAACATAATGTAATGACTAAGTTTCTTAAGAAGATTGCACTGGGGCAAATCACTGTTCGTTTGTTTCAGTGAAGGGAAGATAAAAAGGCAGGGTTGCTAATTTAGAGCTGTTTTGAAAACTTCAGATTGAATCTAGAGCTGCATAAACTCTGGCTCTGTTCACAAACTGAGAATTCATGTCTGTAAACATGGCATGGGAAGGGCAGCAAGAAAACATGGAGCAACAGTCGTTCTGAAGTCTCCATTACCAGAGGTACCCATTATTCGGAGATAAAATTTATCACATTTTTGTTAGTAACATGCAATTCCAACTGTGAGCTTAGCATCCTTCTGTTTGTCACACGTGTAAGGGCTTATAGCAGAAGGGCCCTGTTTCCCCAGTCATCCATCCTCCAATGGATTTACCCTTCCAAAAACAGGTAGCACAGAACCGCAGACGAGTTCCTCATTCAAACCCCATTGCCCGTGTTTAGCATTGTGCAGGTTACTCTGGACCTAAACCTGGGTAGCCATTCCTATGGCTAAGATATCTGTAGGCACTACTGAGGTTTGACTTTCATTCTCTATTGGCCTATTAAGGTATTAAGTAGATGAACATCAATATTAAAGAATTAGGGATAGAGAGGTTTTAATAATTTTGCCAAGAGTCTGTGAAATAAGAGTGCCAGTTTTATCAGTTTCCCCAAAGATTCCCAGTACCCAACAGTCCTGCTGCGTCCTGCAAGGCATTGCACAGACCCATAAAAGAACAGACAGAAGTAATATTTTTCAGCAAAGTTATCTCAAGGCTTCTATGCAATTCTCTTCAATAATGTCAAATTATTTTTGACACCTCCTGAGGTGAGGGGTCAGCATGGGCTGCTCGTGCCGTGGGATGGGCAGTGGGCAGAGGTGGGATGCGGAGAGGTGGGATGCTGCACTGATGCTCCTTCGTCTCTGAGAGCGCAGCCCCAGGAGAGCAGCATGGGGTGGTGGGTCCCTGTCCTGGTCACTGAATGCGGCTCCTCCAAGCAGACACGGGGTGTGCTGGCACTGCTGGCAGCTTTTTAGGACAGCACACTTCGCCTTCCTTTGTCATCTTCTTAAATTTCTTTAAAGTATATCCTCCCTAGAAGAGGGTTTATGTGCCAGAAGACTCCTGTTTTTTCTTGGTTGTGTCTCGTGGTCTAATGAGATTAAACCTCTTCTCACAAATGTGCTGTGCTTTATGTTTTCAGCTGTTTAAAAGGAAAATGGGCGTTCCTAAGAAGAATGCAAGTGCTGTCTGTTTCTTAAGACTCATATGTACGCAGACATCTTAAATTGAAGAATAGTACTATTCATTAAGTAGAAGGGTAATTCATTATGTTAAGTATTCTTGAACAATGCTAAAAAGAAATTTTAAGCGATGAGCAAGGTCCAGTGCAGAACCTCTGCTTTTGATGAATTCATCCTTTCTGCAGTTCCTGTTGCATTCCTGTGCAAAGGCATCACCCTGGAGTTCTGCTGTGCAGCTGTCCCCACCCTTACATTATCTCTGCCAATAATCTAAGTTTGGTGCTTAATTACAGCATCTTGTTCCCCAAGCTGCAGGTACTAGTGGTGGAGCGTGCACGTCGTGGGTGGGAGAGGCTATCGTTCCTCACTGAAATTGTTGCCTTTGGATTGCCAGGGAGCTACAAAATTTGCTCAAAACAGAAGTTACCAGTTTTGCTAGCTGTCTCGGAGTAGGAGCCATGATCAAGGTCTTGAGTGGGGGGGAACAATGGGAAATTTAGGATAATTAAATATTGATGAATAAGAATTCCTTCTTTGTACTAATTTTATTTTTGCTCTGTCTTCCAGCTCCAGTAAATCCACATCTACGTAAGTATTTCTTTATCTTTTTAGCTTTTATGTGTATGAAGAATTGTCCTTGCAGCCACTGTCCCTTACAGTTAAAAAGTAAATGATAAGTATTTCGCTTTCACTTGCAGCCCGTGGATTGCAGGGACCACCTTAGTTTTTTGTGCCAGCTGGGCTGGCAGACAAAGATGTCATTCCTCTTGTTCTGCCAAGGTGCTAAAGCAAGAGTAGATAGAGAAAGGAAAAATTATAGCTCCAGCCCATCTTTCCCACTGCCCAAACAGTTCATCTAAAGGAAAATGCTAATGTTCTGAAATAACATCCATTTGTCAGCATTGCAGCTCAGTGTGTGGGCGTGATGCTGTGGTTTAGTCATGGGAGTAGCTAAATGCTGATAAAATAAATAGCTGAAAGTTCAAGTGCTGTGTAGGAACTGTGTCTGCGCCTCAACAGGTATGGTGAAAAACTTGAAGGAAAAGTCAGTTTATGAAATTTTCTGAATTCATTTATCCTTGCATAAGAACTACATTTGCAGTTCTTGAGTTATTTTGATACTTCCAAGAGTAGTTAGAAGCCCATCTGCAGCTTTAAAACCAAAAGAAGAATGTTTTTTCATGCAGCGCATACAGGAATCATGGACCTCATTTGCACAGTGAAATGTGGAGACCGAAAGTGTGAGTCGGGTGTGAAAGCGTTTAGACAAATTCACAGGATGCAGCTCCAGAGGCGTGACTGAAAATGCAAACTCTGACGATGTATTCACTAATGTGCTGGTGTTTGGGCACGGGGATGTTGCAGGGGAGAAACAACCCTCTCTTACAGTTTGTTCTTACACTTTTCCATGGGCAGGAAATCCCCAGAAATGTCGCAGACAGGAGAATAGGCTGGAGCTTTAGTATGTCCCAGTAAAACCACCCTGTTCCCAACAGTCTCCACATTTCTCTACTTTATGATTTTCTTCCATAGCACAGCAAATGAATGTTTTGCTGTGGGAACATATTCTGCCATTATTCTTGCTTTTAGTAACATATGCAAGAAGCAAAGGGAATGGAATTCTGTCTGCCGTTATTACTGCTGTAGTGCAGCCGTAGTCAGGCAGAAATGCAGCACCGGGCTGTGTGAGCAGCCTCTCTCTCCATCTCTCACAGACGATGGCTAAGCCTTTCTGTAAATTTTAAACTTATTTGCAGAAGATCTTGTCCAATGCATTAATAATTAATCAGGGCTTAGTTCAAAGCTCTCGAGAGCTGAAGGAACCACTCCCATTGACTTCAATGAGCAGCAGATGAGACCCTTGTTAATTAGTATATTAAATATATACTCCACGACGTTAAGAAAAAAATGCATTGCCATCCCAAGTGCTTCACACTGGAGTCCTCTATGATTTTAAGACCTGAAACTGTCTAATTTTCAAAATGTCTCTATAGCTCAGTTAAAAGCAACAGCTCTAGTAGGTGCGTAGTACCATGCGGGTGGCATCCAAATTGCCCTTGCGGTAGGGAGTGCGTTAGCTCGAGGGAGGGAGGGCATCGCTGGCAACCTGTCCACTGTTTCCTTCGTCTGTGGTCTAGGTCTGCCTCTCTCTGCACTGGTGGCGATGGGAAAGTTTGCTTACCAGAACTGTAGGGTACCCAGTGTCATTTCTTTCAGATGAGCAAAAAGATGGTAAAATTTTGGTTTGCTTTTTTCCCCAAAGACTTTTTGAGTGAAGTCAAAAAAAAATCTTGGTCTGCAAATGGGTTCAAACCAGTAAGCTGGAGAAGAGAGACTCTGTCTTAACAAATTCAATCTCGTCATTATCCGTTCTTTATACAATCTCATTTTATTTCACTGGAAATATAGAATGGATGATGATGTACATCAACCAAGTTCTGTCTTTTCTAAACCTGTTGGACTGAATTCTTATTTTATTTACACCATTGTGAATGAAGAGTAAGAGCTATATTCAGCGGGGACAAGACACCTGTACTGGAAACTGAAGTCACGTTCTTCCTGCTTCAATCCTGGAATAATCACATTGCATAAGTCCTTCCTTTTTATAAGATGCCTGCAATACATAAGCATATAGCATTGAATGACTTAAACACCGAGATCTAGATCTGATGTAGCCTCAGATCTGCATTTTATTTTGTAACGCATAATATAAACCATTTAATGTAAACCATAAGGATTTCATATCAATTAGTGCAACTAGATGTTACACCTGAATAATGGAAGAGACTAGATGTTAGAGAGTCATATTCAACTTGAATTTTATGGAAATGTGTGACAAAAATTCATGCAGAGCGTTTCACCTTGAGAACAGTTTCAGATTTTGCTCTAATTGGCAATGAAATTATTAATAACCTGAATTCACTTCCAGAGCTGCCATGTACTTTGACAAAAATTGACCACTATCTTCAATAATAATTGGCACTATTGTTAGTGCTTTCATCAAACTGTGGTGGTCTGAACGGTGTCACGAGCTGGAGCACCCATGGGTGCTTGGGGAAGGGACAGCTGTTCCTCCTGCACTTGGGTGTGCCCCATTGATGAACAGGTCAGGATCATCCAGATCTATTTAAATGCTCCTACATCTTACATAGCAAAAGTACTGAGCTAATCCTGGGGAACTATTTCCCATTTTTATTCTTCTGTCATTTTTTAAGAAATGTTCACTGCCAAGACTATTTAGCAGCAACCTTTTCCAGTCTATTCCAAATGGCAGAGTCCCACATGAAACCAATGTTTTCTTATTAAATAAATGGCAAACTTTTACTTACCTTTTCTCATCTGGCTTGAATATTTTTTACTTTTTTTTAACTTGAAGAAAAATCTTTTGTTCTGCTGATGTGGAATTTCTTAATGAAGCTCTGAGGGCATGGTGCGACGTGGAAATGCAGTTCTTAAGGTACTGGAGGGGCAGTGTTAGAAACCGCTGAATGGCTGAAAATGCTTCGTGCTGATTCACTTTGCTGCAGGACTGGATCTGGTACTCAGAACTTTTCTCCTTTAGTTACTGTTTTGCCCTTGAAATTTTGTCTCGTTGTATAGACGCAGCACCGTTTTTGCTGTAGAAAGGGCTTGCATAAGAGGAGGTGGAAGTCAAATGCACAGAGTGTAGTGTAAACCGAACAAATTTGCAGCTCAAGTCATGTAAAAAGTATTCTGGGAGATGAGAGGCGCAGCTGGCATTTTGTTCAGAGTGCTTCATTCAAGTCCTTCTGTCTTTCAAGTGCTTTGTCGGGGTCTTTGCATTATCTTCCTGGTCTTTGGGATAAGGATGGAGGTGTCCATCTCCATCTATTCACATGCTTCTCTATCAAAGTATTTTGGGTGTAGTCCACACATGCTCATTCCTTGTGACCTTGTTCTCTGATTTGCTCATCTCTCAGGAAGAACCACAATCAGGCCTCTACTTGTATTCCTTCTCTGCAGTGCTCATGATGTGCTCCTCCATTGAATGATTTTCTATATTACCACTTCTTTCAACATTCAAAATTCAGGATTCAGAAGACCTTGCTTCCAGAACCAAACCAAGATGCAATGTCCTGAAACTGGCTCCCCATCATGCTGATGATTATCAGTCAAGTTTGCAAGTTAAGGAAATGTGATTTAGGAAATGAATTCTCTTGGAGGATCTAATAAAGTTGATGGAGAAATCAAGTCAATCTGCTTGGGATGCTATAGCCAAAGAAGTTTCTATAGACTGTATTTTTGTGATAACCTGGTTTTATAGAGTGGCCTTTTATGCAGTCTGTTGTGGAGGGGGTACAGATTGCGTTATTCTTTGGACGGGCAGAAACAGAATGAGGAAGACTTGGAAAGCACTCCTAATGCACCTTGTGGTTTGGAATGAATTTTTCAAGACTGCTTGTTCAGTCTGCAGTATTACCTGATTTTAAATAAGTTTCAGACCAGCATCCTTGCTTAGCAGTACATATCCAAGCTAAGCTCCAGGTACCTCTGTCTTCACTGATTTACAGCGGAGCTCCATTTCTTAAGTGGATTTATAGTTCACCAAAACCCCAAACCTGCAAACATTTATATTCCTTCTCAATTTAACAGGGATGAATAATCCCATGATGCCTAATGTTAGAGTTCCTCATGACAATGAATATAAATTGCACCCCCATAAAGAAGGACGTAGCTGACGCACTATGCAGACAGCTGCATTCTCCCTAGAGAAGAGAGATTTGCTTGTTTTCTCAGATAAATCAATTGACTTTGCTGGAAGAGTAAACTTGGTGGAAAATATTCATGTGCATAAAATTAAGCTTTTACACATTTTACTACATGGGGCCTTATTCTGTCCTGAGATGAAAACGAAACCTTGAAGTTTTTATTTGTTTTGGCTCCTGAATGTCTGACAGGAGGACTTTCTCATCCTATCATAACCGAGCAGGAAGGATCACTGGACTGGTGTGTCTCACGGACCTCTGTTTTGCAAAGGAGAGGATCAGAGTATTCCTGTCTGGGATTCTTGGTGTTTTAATTCTTTAGACCTATGCTTTTACCACTTGGCCTCGAGTACATAATGGAATTTTAGTGAAAGTCTAGGAGAAGTCTTCAGGACATGATAGAGTCACCTGTCCTGCCCATATAGGTTCAGACAGACCTAAACCTTCCTCCAAGGTATTTGTCTAATAGGTTATTATAATCAGTGATGGTGACTCAATGCTCTTCCTGAGCAATCCATTCATGTGCTTTGCTCTCCTGATCTTTAGAGGTTTTCTTCATGTCTACCCTGAAGCTTCTTTGCTCTCATTTTAGCCATTATTTATTTGCTTTCCCATCCCTATTGAAAACCAGGAATGGTTTAGGAGATGTCACTTGGAGATAATGTTTTCCTTTTGAAAAGCTGCTGTCCTCTTTTCCCTAATGTTCTTATCCTTAAACCAAAATAACGCACTTCTCACTTCCCCCCCTCACCCCCATAGTTCATGTTTTATCATGTTTTATGGACATGCTGCCTGTTCTTCTCAGCAGTTTAGGAATGCTATCTGGGTAAGAAGAGACAATGTCTCTAAGGGCGATTGTATACATGTGAATATATGAGGAGGAGCTATACAATAAGATTTGCATATAATTTCAAGTAACACCAACACAGATTGATGACCGTGATTTTCCTTTCATTGAGGTTAATGCTAAAATCAACATACACTGGATACTGGAAACTGATCTAAACGTACATCTATTTTCCAGTGCTGTTAATAAGCGTCATCCCACAATGGTTTGTTATTATTGACAAGTACTTTGACAAAGAAGCATAGGATGAATAGCAAGTAAATTTCTGCTCATTTGCTGTGTCGGCAGGAGAGTTCCACTGTGGGTTTGAGGATGGTAACATTTGCCTTTTCACTCAAGATGACACGGACAATTTTGACTGGACAAAACAAAGCACTGCCACTAGAGACACAAAATATACCCCGAACACGGGGCCAAACGCGGATCGGACTGGCTCCAAGGAAGGTAAGCTCCAGCGGTGTGCCTGGTCCCCTGGCACTGGGAGCTCTGCTGCTCCGTTGGGGTGAGGGACCTGTCCAGGACAGCCAATTCAGCTAACTACATCGTTTTTCCTGATCATACCAAGAGTAAGCATACTTCAAGGACTTCTAAAAGAAATTACCGGTGCTAAGGCTGGTCTCAAAGCACAACGCACTAACGGTGCCATTACCCATCTTGTATTGTTTCCATTGTGCCATTTTCAAAGCGATTGCTTTCATGTTATAGTCTAGTGGGGAAATATTCTGGCACATCTTGACATACTCTTCTGTTTTATGTCATTTAAATTCTAACTTGGACTCTCAGACTGTCACAATGAGATTTATTTTTGCCCCATTTTTACTTTGGGTGTTGCTAAAATGAGTAATTCTCAATCTGCTACCCAGGTTAACAGAAGCGTGCCTTCTTGACTGCAGTGTATATTTGCATTTGAAAAGTCAGACATATTGTGCTGAATTTATCAAGTACTGCAGTAACTCATGCTATTTTATTTTATGCCCCCTGCTTGCACTACCAAAGGGGAAAAAAATCATACGGCATTGTATGTGCTTGGTAGGTTTAAATAAATACTATCCGTGTTGTTGGCACAGTCCAGGATCAGAATAAATTCATAGTGCCTTCTTTCATGAAAGTGAGATTTCGACCATGTGATTGACCTGTCCAGTTGAAAATGTTCCTTGAAAGGTTTCCATCAAGATATTTTCCCTTTATTTTAAAAGTTCTCCCCACTCACTGCTTGTAGGAACCAATTGCAACCTTGAGACTGAAGTCTGAACCCCATCATAAAGATTTTTTTCTTTTCTTGTGCATATACAACGTTCCATCGATCTGAAGTTGTTTATGAGTACTGACCTGCTAGCCCTGATTTTACTCGTGGTAGAAAACATGTCTTTGAAGCAGTTGTGGAAAGCACACGGGCTTAATGTAGAATAAATATGTCCCAGAAACCGTGGTGATGTCAGATAAATATGAAAAATGAATAAAGATGCTTGGTAGCTCGGGTGTCTTCCTGCGTGTATATGTGTTGGGTTTTGAAGACTGCAACCTAACGATTTCCATTTGGACTTTCCCTAGGTTTCTACATGTACATTGAGACATCACGCCCCAGGCTGGAAGGAGAAAAGGCCAGGCTTGTTAGTCCTGTTTTCAGTGTCGCTCCAAAAAACCCTTACGGAGCTGCGAACACAGCCTACTGTTTTAGCTTCTACTATCACATGTATGGACAGCACATAGGTGAGAGAAAGCCAATGACCTTGTCTTTTCACTTTGGGAGAAATAGCAGGAGAAATGTCCTCTTGTGGGAAACAAAAGCATGGGAGGACTGCCAACACCTGCAAGGGCCAGTCGCAACCAAAGCTGGCAAGAGAGGTGCCTGTTAGTGTCCTAATCGCTGTAAAAACGTCTTTCCCACAGACCAGCACGCCAGCAGGAGCCCCTCTTACAGCTGGGAAGTGCTTCGTGCACACGTGAGGTTTTGATCAGGGAACTTTAGAGCATGAAAACAGAAAAGGTGGTATTTGCAAGGACTTTGCCTGATACTAACACAGTGTTTTGAGTCACTCCTTGCTAAATTCGGGATCAAGCAACTAGCAGCAGCCCTCCTCATGTGCTGGCAGCTGGAGCGGCAAAGCCTCTGTTCGATGCAGCACACGGTTCTTTTGTAAGTCATGAACAATTCGCTCACAAACTCACAAGCTGTGGGAGTATACATTTTCAAGGTGTATCTGTAAGTCTGGTTTTAGTCATAGCTCTTTCAACACACACGTTTAATTTCTTTGCATATAATGAAAAGAGCTGTGGGAAAATATAAAAGTATAAATGATAGACAGCCAATTTTTATAAATCCTGTAAATCCCTGTGGGGTGCTCAGTGCTTACCAGTGTGTCAAGAGGCTTTCCAGCACAAAGCTGACCTGACTTGATGTATTTTTATACATATTTCAAGGGCAAGCACATCCTCACAGTGCATTCGGGTGGTTGCTTCAGGACACCTTCACCTGCCTCCAGGCAGACTTCAGGTTTTAAATAGAGCAGACAAGTTCACTTAGTTTTTGGTTAGTTGGCTCTGCAATGCTGAGCACATGAAGACAGCCCCAGGTCTGAATTCTCCTGGATCTACTTTGCAGCAGGAGCCTGGCTGTTTATTGGAAGGAAGTGATTGAGCCATGCCATGCTTAGTGAAAAAAAAAAATAAACTGCCCCATATGGTCATATACCAGACTGTTTCTGGTATCTGACAGTGAACAAAAAAGTTACAAACATAAATGGTAAAAGAGCTTTTCTGGAATACCTTCAGGTTGGGATAAAGTATAAGAAAACCAGCCTGGAGGCTGATGTCTTTCCACAAAACAGTGACGTCTCATTGGTTCAATTTTGTTTTTTTCTCCTAGGCTACCTTTTCAGCAAGTATCTGTCCTTAGCTTTTTTGCTGAGATTGCCCTTTCTTGTTTATGTAGAATTTCTTGAATTGACAATTGTATAATGCTGGCTGATGAAGGAGCTGACCCACAGGTGAAGATGGTGACGATGATGATTAGTGATCATAGTTACACAGGATTTGTTCATGACAACGTGGACACTTATTTGTCAAAAACCAAAATTACTTGATATGACTTTTGTTCCGTAATGTTAAAAAGTATAGTTGCCATGATACTTTTGAATGGCTTTGTACAAAATGACTTAGTATTCGGTCTTTAAAGAGTGGACTGACAGAAAAATAGTAAATTAATTAATAATATCAGCCATGGGTTCGAATGCACACTCATGCATGTCTTCTAAATTCAATATTTTAATTCCTCATAATGATAAAATGTTATGAAACACATGAGAATGCAACATGCATACAAGAAATAAATTATGAAATCAGCAAATATACACTATTTGATTCCCCAGATGTGAACTCTATCACTGAATTGGTTCACATGAGGATAATGAAAAGAAAAACGTAATGAGTGATGGTATTCTAAGACTTCAATGATTTAAGCACATGATTATTGTATGAATAGTCGTATTGATGAGGTAGCTACTTGAATGAGTTTTTAAAGGTTTGTGGTTTTGGAAATTACTTTGGATTAGGAAAGGGGTTATTGTAACACGATGATTTGCCCAGATGAATCAAACCTAATCATGACACAGTGTTTTGGATGATGCACCCTTGTGGTAAGGATGGCCACCAGCCTCCTGGGCTGCACCAGGCAGAGCATGGCCAGCAGGTCAAGGGAGGGGATCCTGCCCCTCTGCTCAGCACTGGTGAGACACAGCTGGGGTACTGGGTCCAGTGCTGGGCTCCCCAGGACAAAAGAGACATGGGTTTAGTGGAGAGAGTCCAGTGAAGGCCCACAAAGATGATGAAGGGACTGGAGCATCTCTCACACGCAGAGATGCTGAGAGAGCTGGGACTGCTCAGCCTGGAGAGCATAAGGCTCAGGGGGATCTCATCAATGTGTATGAATACCTGAAGGGAGGGTGTGAAGACGATGGAGCTCAGAGATGCTCAGGGACAGGACGAGAGGCAATGGGCACGAATTGAAATAGAGGCAATTCTATTTATATGTAAGAAAATTTTATTATTTTTTTATTACTATGATGGTAGTCAAACACTGGAACAGGTTACCCAGAGAGGTTGTGGAGTGTCTGTCCTTGGAGGTATCCAAAATCCGGTTGCACATGGTCCTGAGCAACCCGCTGTAACCTACCATGCTTTAAGCAGGGGTTTGGACAGTACAATCTCCAGAGGGGCCTCTAAGCTCAACAATTCTGTGGGAAATATTTAATTGGTAATATTTTTTTTCAGAACAGTTGCATTTTATTAAGCATTAATCCTCTGTGGGTGATTCTAAATCTTATTGCTAAAACAGATTTACTGCTTTATCACAAGCTGTAAGAAGCCTTGACCCTTTACCAGTGTTCCAGAATTCGCAGCCAAAATATAGAAGGTGCTTCTTATCCCCATTTGGGAATGAGTGCTGCCAGTCAGGGCAGCTCTCAGCTGAAATATGCACTGCCAGCTCATTGAGTTCTTCACAAGAGCAAGACAGGAGCTGCTGAGACCTCGGTATGATCTCCGTGCTGAAGGCTGTCTCTTTTGAATAACCTTGAGCTGCTGATTCTTGACCTGACTTCCCTGAAAATTTGAAGTGTCTTGCAGGGGAATTTGGCTTAAATAACTTCCAGCTTTTCCTTCCTTGGGCCTGGGGACAACGTGTTCAGGCAAGATACATGGCGATTAAACTTTGATTTTCATCCAAAGTGCTGTAGCATTGTTCAGCAAACTTCGGTGCTGCAAGTCAGCATTTCCACTGGGTTGCTTTATTCTCCCTAGTTATCAGTTACCAGTTATTAGTTATCTTGCAAGATTTCCAAGCAGTATTAGGGTTATTAGTCCAATGTCTCAAGGGCAAAGTACTGTGTTTCCAAAACAGTTTTGGTGCTCAGCGGAACGTTTCTGTATTCCAGCAAGGTTTTGAAGGATCCCTAATAAAATGTAAAATCATCCTGCAATGATTCTCTGTTGCTGGTGTGGATTGCTCTTGGAGGTTTAGAGGACAAGATACTCCATTGTCCATTCTTAAAAATTAGTGACCCCAGTAACATCAATTTGGGAATATGGCTGTTGCACTATATTGAAATCAAACAGCCTACCAGTTTATGCAGCTCAGGTTCTGTGCCTGCTGTTCACGTCTTCGGTGACTCTGGAGAAGAGGCTGAAAATTTCTGTAGCGATAAGGAGAGGTAGTTGGGAGTCTTTGCAGAAAGCAGAGCACAGATCTGAGATTAGCACTTACGCTAGAGCACAGCTCTGATGAGATATACAGGGACCTACATCCCATGCCATGGCAGTTAGACTCAGAAACATAAAGTGTTTCTTTACCTGAGATAGATGGCTCTTACTTACAAGTCAGATTGTAATTCCTGACAGATCACACAGGGATAACTGAGTGCTGGCTGCCAGGGGAAGTGCATGCGCTTTGCTCCACATGCTTCAAAAGGAGAAGGTAGATTTTCCCTAAACTGTAAGAGAAATAGAAGTTCCCATTACTTGATTTGCAGCAAAAAATAAGCCATTGTTGGAGAACAAGAAAATGAAAAGTCACTGTCACAGAATCACAGAATCATTTAGGTTGGAAAAGACCTTTAAGATCATCAAGTCCATTCATTAACCCAACATCATCATCCCACTAAACCATGTCCCGAAGTGCCACGTCTACACGTTTTATGAACACTTCCAGTGGTGGTGACTCCACCACCTCCCTGGGCAGCCTGTGCCAATGCTTGACCACTCTCTCAGTAAAGAGATTTTTCCTGATATCCAATCTAAACCTCCCCTGGTGCAACTTGAGGCCATTTCCTCTCGTCTTATCACCAGTTACTTGGGAGAAGAGACCAACACCCACCTCACCACAACCCCTTTCAGGTAGCTGTAGAGAGCGATGAGGGCTCCCCTCAGCCTCCTCTTCTCCAGACTGAACACCCCCAGTTCCCTCAGCCGCTCCTCATAAGACTTGTGCTCCAGACCCCTCCCCAGCTCCATTGCCCTTCTCTGGACACACTCCAGCACCTCAACGTCCTTCTTGTCGTGAGGGGCCCAACACTGAACACAGGATTCGAGGTGCAGCCTCACCAGCGCCAAGTACAGGGGCACGATCCCTGCCCTGCTCCTGCTGGCCACACCATTGCTGGTACAGGACAGGATGCTGTTGGCCTTCTTGGCCATCTGGGCACACTGCTGGCTCATGTTCAGGCTCTGTCCTTACATGGTCTCTATGTTGAGACGGAAAGGGGCTGCAATTCCATTATAGCTGTCACCATCTTTTAAAACAGTGTATATTTCCGCTTTTTCCATCTCTACCCCAAAATGGGGCATTTCTAATTGATGCTCCAGGAACATTAATTTTTCTTATCATTAGAGAGCCATCACAAAACAAAAAGTGGAGGCAAAACGTGCTGTCAGAGCACACTGTGAGAGCTGTTTGGTGTTGGCACCGTGATGAGCGCTCAGAATGTCACCCCAGTGGTGCAGCTGGCGAAATCTCCAGAGCACCCTGCACCCTCTTGGCAGGATGCTGTCAGAAAGTAAACTTTATCCCATAATTCAGAGTTGTTACTCCTGTCCAGTGTTTCTGTCTCCTTCTCAGGAGTCACTTCATTACCGATTTGTCTGAAGTTTGGAATAGTTTGAAATCTGTAAATAAATTCTTGCTGGACACACCTGAGCGTGAAGCCTATAGCCAACCCATCCTCCCCGACAACATCAGCTTTGCAAAGGCCATGTAACTTTTCCAAAATCTCACTGGCAGCATTTCAAGCATCTGTTGCAGGTGCCATTAGTTAAGTTTTTGACGATGTTTCGGGCAGGTGTATGTGCATATCTAGCAATGGTCCATCCATACTAGATATGGTACATCCATACTAACCAACATACTGGGCAACGACTGAGCCTATCTGGTGCAGTAATGGCTATTTTGTATTTTAAGTAAGATTGCTATCACTCTGCTATTAATTTGAAGACATTATGTGACACAGAGAAGTTGAGTATGCTATGAACAATCTTAAATCTCTGTAACCTCAGCAGTGATGGAATTACATGCTTTTGATACCAAAAGTATTCAGTTATTCCAAACAGTCCTGTGTATCAGCCTGTACAAACAGGTGAAACGATTAGCCAGCTATTCATCCCTTGCTTGATATGGGCACTTATTTTTGTCTTTAAGAAAAATATCATTATATATGATGTTCTATTTTTTAAAGTTAGGTAGTCTTGTCTGAGACCCTGCCTTTTTTCACACCGTAGACCCAGCACAGTTGTCAAAAAAAGTCTTGGAGAGAAGCAGATGGGAAGGAAAGGAGAACTGTTAAGCTGAATAACATAAACCTCGCCCAAGAGCTGTGGTTGCTGCATGGAAGGGGCTTGCTGTGAGCAGCACTGCGACGTATTGCTGGGCTGGGCTGCAGGGCTGCTCCAGAGAACCCTCCTGAGCATTCCCCTTCTTGCAAGCCCTTTCTGTTTCAGGTCTTTTTGTTTTACCCAGTAACGTGCATGTAGGCAGAGACAGACTACCCTTGTTAAAAGCCGTGATTTCTTTGTGCTGCTTCTGCACCTTCCCCTGGAAAATAAAACGCTGCAGTGGGAGGCAGGTGGGAGACACGGTGCCGCCCAGTCGCTCCGGCGAGCATCGCTTCCCCCACCTCCTTCAGAGAAGATGTATGGCCTCATTCTGGGCACCCTGGTGAAATGGCCGTGATGAGAATATTTGCTGCTCCATTACACGTTTAGCCTTATGTTTTTCAAGGCACTGAGTTTTGCTATTGCTAGAAATAAGAACTTTTTTATTAGCAGGAGCTGAGTCACTGTGCAGCTGCTTCAGATCTGAGAGGTTTCATTGCAAATATAATTTGTATGAGCTTCCCAGCTGCCATGTCCAACACCCTAAAAAAACAGTAGTCTGGTGTGAACTTGACTGTCTGAACTTTCTCGATTGAAGGCAAATGCAATGATTTACGTAGCACAAAGAGACACCACTGCCCCACACTTCTGCAGGTAACAGTGGTGGGCAAGAAGGAACAAAATCTGCAAACTATGTGAATTACTGAACCCTTACAAGCGAAGTCAATGCATTTGCTGTCTCTTGGTGCAGCAAGACAGTCTGTTTTCTGTTCATGGTCTGAGCCAGTGAGGTTAACCAGAGAGAAGGGCTGATGAATGCAGACAATCTGTTACCTGTTGCAAATAATGTCTGAGCTGGAACCAGTAACGTAATGGTCAGCAGTGGGGACGGACCCAGGTCTGTGAGTTTTTTCTCAACAGTGAGGGACTGTACCGAGGTTATTTTAACTCAGAGGATTATGTTGTCCTTCAAAAATGCTCCTTAGCAGCAGTAAGGCCATCACAGCTATCTCTGAGATAAATTTTCTAGGCTCTATGGCACTCCATTAGTTAAACGATGTACAGAGTAAACAAGAAGTTGGACAGTCTTTACAAGCAAGAGCTAAGCATAAAGCAACCAAGTTGCTTATTTATCCTTGGATAAGGAAGTTGTAAATGCCTCGTTTGCACTAAAGCACAGGAAACTCCTTTTTGCCCATCTCACCCTGGGGAGCCCGGTGTCCTGCCTGAGCCGCAGGGAGCGATGGGTGCGACTGCCCTGCCCGCCCTGGGGAGCGCGCGCCCTGCGCGCTCAGTTTACCTCTGCTGTGAACTCACATCACCGGTTCACGGCGCTCCCAGGTTTACAAGTTTTTGAATTCACGACGAGAAACTCCCCGCATCCACTCAGACCTAGCAGAGGCCCGTGCAGAATGGGAAGGGGGGCGAGCAGGGGACTGCTGCTGTACCCAGCCCAGCATCCCTGCTCTGTCAGAGCACGTAACCAATTCCAGTTCTCCACCTCTCTTCTAGGAAGCTTGAACGTTTACCTGCGATTGAAAGGTCAGACCGCGATAGAGAACCCGCTGTGGTCTTCAAGTGGAAATAAGGGACAGCACTGGAACCAAGCCCGCGTTAACATAAACCCCCCGACTTCATTTCAGGTAATGGCTCGTGCATCGCACGCTGGGAACGGGAGTATTCGGGTTTTGGAGGACGGGCCCACGTACGCTGACCCTTTCCTTCTGAAACTATATTTCACAGCTTCAATTCAGCTCTGAAAGGTGCTTTATGGACAGATAATTGCTTTCCTTGCTTTAAATAGGTGAGCCCCATACAGCTTAGTAATGCGCACTTTTAACGGCAGAACAGCAGCTATTTGCTTGGGGACAAAATATCTTTCAGTTTTCAGAAGATGCTGGTAGCCGATATAAAACATTTTTTAGTTCAGATCAGAATACAAAATTACTTCCTGTGAAAAAATATTTAGGGTCCACGGTGCAGTGCCTGTGCAGGAAGTCTCTTGAAATCCATGCATTTTCTGCAGAAAAAGGGATGATCTCAGTCTTTGCTGAAAGGTAGCAAAGCAGCAGTGCTGCCTGCACGGAGCTCCCGGTGCGGCAGAGCTCCACGCCTCCTTCACCGGGCGCACGCAAGTTATGACAGGTTTTCACACGTTTCATTTTTGGTTTGACAGTGAGATGCTGATAGACTATTATGGGCAGTTCTCATTCACGCTGTGAGCTGTTTGTCACTGGAACAGACCCAAAAAGGCAGCTGCTGCGAGCAAGCCCTCGTGTGTTTGAGGCTGGGAGCATCGTCGTGGTAGATGGGAGTCATAAGCTGTGCCCTGCAGTCCGATGCTCTCCAGGCTCCTCTGTCCCCTCTCTGTAACCTCCAGGTCCCCTGGGGGAGATAATGGCTTTTGGGAAAAAGAGTCATTCGGTGCAAGTCGAAACTGCTACATTAAACATGCAGATTGGGATTCACTTTGTGGGTAATTACTGATCCTGACCCTTTGTTTTTATTTCCATGTGTGAGGCAATGACAGAAGAGACATGATTTGGCATACGTGATCACAGAAGCATTGCATGGGGGGAATTTAGAAGAAACTTGAAGGAGAGGGATATGCGAAGTCTAGCGTTATGTGATGTTTGAGTGGAACAAAGTGGCAGAACTGCAGAGGAAGAGCGCAGAGAAGAGGGATATGAGTGTGAAAGTACACTCAGAGCATGGGGCCAAGTACAAGGGAGCTGATCAGAGTGGGTGAGTTTTGCATTGGTGAAGTCAAGATAAACCCAAGAAGTCCGAACAGTGCAGGAGAGAAAAATGGTTTAGTATCTGAACATTATAAACGGGCAGGTAAAGGGAGACAAGAGATGGCTGGGGAAGCTGAAACCAAAGTGATCGCAGTTGTGTCTGAGAGGGATTCCTGAGACCTGGGATGGCTTTAGCAGAAGTAAGGGAAGGATGAGGACTAGATTGAGATTAGACTTAAGGAAGAAATTCTTCACTCTGAGGGTGCTGAGGCACCGGAACAGGTTGCCCAGAGAAGTTGTGGATGCCCCATCCCTGGAAGTGTTCAAGGTCAGGTTGGACGGGGCTTTGAGCAACCTGCTCTAGTGGAAGGTGTCCCGGCCCATGGCAGGGGGGTTGGAACTAGAGGACGTTTAAGGTCCCTTCCAACCCAAACTACGCCATGATTCTGTGGTCAGCTCGGGGCAGAGACATGCCAGGGATTTGGCCCCAGAGATGCAGAGGAGTGGAGGAGGGTGATGGGTGCAAACCTGGGGTCACCTCATCGGCACGGAGAGGCAGGCAGGGGTTTGGGTGGAAGGGCAAGCTGGGGTGTTTGCCTTGCAGGGGGCTGTCTGGGGTGGGGCTCTGGCGGAGCAGCCAGAGGCCACGGCCAGCAGCTCCCGGTACCCTGGTTGCTGCTTTCACTGTGGAGTCTGAGCATCAGCCCTCGCGCGGGGCCCCGTCACCTTCAGAAGAGTTACAGGCGTCACTTCTGTCACTGGTGCACCGTGTCCCGGTTGCTTTAGAACCGTATTCACCGGTGCCACCAGCTGGCACACAGGATGGAAGCCCCTCTACTTGGCTATTTTTCACCTTTTATATTGTTGTGTTTAAAGGCTTCAGCATAAAATGAATGTAAAGCCATGAAGCTCTGCGCAAATATAACAAATAAATGTCAGAGTGGTTGGAACCTTAAATTACTTTTTTAGCAGCTCTTGCATCAAGCAAACTTTATTTTCCATTTAGGAGTCTAACTAGGAAAGAATATAAAACTCCCAGTTAAATTTAAGGAGAGTGAATTGAAGTGAATCTTTGCAATAAAACAGTACACTGACACAGAAATTAAAACTTTTTATAGGTTAACTTATATAGGTAAAAGTGCAGCCCGGATTTGTTTTATACCTTCCCAGTCCCCGTGATACATAACAAAGCTTCTGTCCTGAAGAACTGAGAGGACTACAGTGCTTTGAATGAGAAAAAATATTGCATAAAAGCTATCTCAGTAAGATATTCGCTAATTAAGTATTTTTAAGGAATAAACACAAAGAGAGCATGTGGAAGTCATACATTGCACACCGGCATCTAGGAAGGTGTCAGTTTTAATTCAGATTCGAAGAGGAGCACTGCCACTGCCTTCAGCTACACTCTCCTTGACGCCTTCTTGTGTCAAAGACATTTTTGGCAGAAGAGGGACTGATCTGCCCTTAAGTAAATGACCACGGAGATTTGCAGCCCCTTACACCGAGTGTAAGGGCCTTACACTGTCCGGCTTGTCATCACGCTGTCATCACGCTGTCCGGCTGGGGACATTCGTGAGGCTCCTCTCTGCTTCTTATTAGGAGACTGGTGAGGAAAGTA